TCGTTTAATATCCCTCCTCGAGCCTTAAGTGAATCATTCCTTCTTTTATGTTGGATTGCATCGCGCTCTTTACGGTGAAGTCAAATTAGATTAGCGATTCACGCGAATGATTTAGCTGACAACATCGACATCAGTTTCATATCTTTCGCACATATAAATTATTCGTATTGCCGAAATTTTATTACGCATCTTCCAATCAAAGGAGAATGTAATTCCCGTGAATAAGTGAAGTGAGATCTAAATGAAACGAAATGACACTCTTTCAGAGGCCGGCAACGGCGGCTTAGGTCTGGCGATCGCGGGTAACGGCGAAGCGAAGGTGGACGGCAAGGATAACTACGACGGCTCGTGCACCGTAGAATATGTTCCCACGGAACCCGGGGACTACGAGATCAGCATCAAATTCGCCGAACAGCACATACCGGGCTCGCCCTTCAAAGTGCAGGTGGTGTCGGACTCGGAGGCGAAGAACGTGGTTGCTTACGGGCCCGGTCTGGAGCCGGAGATGGTTCGCGAGGGCGTGCCCGCCAAGTTCACGGTCGACACGTCCGCGTGCAGGTCCGCGGCGTCGCTGGACGTCAGGTTGAAAACGGACAAGGGGCAGGTGCAGAAGCCGCAGATCAAGAGCAGGGGCGACGGCACGTACGAGGTGACGTACCAGCCGCCACCGGCTTGCAGCAACGTGCTGGTCGGAGTGACCTACGGCGGCGACGACATCAACGGCAGCCCGTACAAGCTCAAGGTTTTGCCCACCGTGGAGCCCAGCAAAGTGCTCCTCTCAGGTGCCGGCGTGTCGCCCGTGTGCACCGCTTCCTTCCCCACGGACTTCGTCGTGGACACCTCTCAGGCCGGATACGGCGATCTCGAGGTCCAGGTTCTGGTGAGTTTCGCTGTTTGCCGACGGTGTTTCGTTGTTCTCTCGCCAAGGGATGATCAGGGCTTCGGATTCGGTTTCTCTCGCATGAGAGAGTTGTGACGATTGCACGGTTTACCGTGGTGTTTTCTTGGAAGGCGCGTTTCGACTTTCACGGAGTTCCCGATGAGCGTTCGATTTGTCATCCCGCCGGATCTCTCTCGAACGGTCTCCAAAACATCAGCTGCACGTGTCAGAATGCGCGTTCGCTCTTGCCAAACCGACGGCTCCACCGACGCGGTCGTTCTCGTATTTATCATTACACAATCAGCGGCTAATTTCGGATCGATAGGTGGGAGTGATGTTTATCAAAACAAATATCGGGACCAGCTGCGAATAAGGTATCGGCTGTCGAGAGCTCGGACGATCGAACGACCGATGAATTATGCGAATGATCTCGCGACGGTGTAGCGACAGTATCTCGTCACTGATGTTTCTCTGTATCACTTTCAGGGACCCGACCAGGTGCCGCGCAGGGTGGAGGTGCAGGACCTCGGCGACGGCAAATACAAGGCCACCTACCTACCGGACGACTGCGGCCGTTACAAGGTCAACGTGAAATACGGCGGCAAGGAGGTGCCAGGCAGTCCGGTGAACGTGCAGAGCGTCTCTACCGGCAAGGCGGACCAGTGCAAAATCAAAGAGGGTATTCAGCACACTTTGGCTCAGGGCGAGGAATACTGCATCACCGTGGACACCGAAAATGCCGGCCGCGGTGCAGTGACCTGTCGCATCCGCTCCACTTCCGGCAGGTGAGCGCGTGATCTGTCCCGATTTAAGTCCGGTTATTTCGGAAGAGGTGAATCAGAATGAAAATGAACGGAGAAATAACGGGATATTCGCCCTCGCAATTGTCGTCACGTTATTTTTAAGTCTCAGGCCCAGAGCGTAGCGTCGTGACGCGAATATGTTTCTCGACATTTTTCTGCCGTCGCCCTTCTATTTATGGTCAGGATATCTGCGCATCCCTCTTTCTCTCTGAATTAAGGAAGAAAAAGAGGAAGTATTATGTGCGATGCACATAACTACGACATTTAAGGAGCATCGGAATAGTTATGTTACTTGGATTAAGTAAAATAATTACTCCAATACCTCTTCAATATTTACCTGAATGGTAATTGTTTAATAAGGCTTTTTTCGAATTTTGTTCTTTTTTCGCAGCAGTTTCGATGAAAATATTTGTCGTGACTTCGACAGTGATAATCAACGGGAGTAGTCCGAAAAATATGTAACCTATCTACTTTTTTAACTATTTTTTCCCAACGTATAAATCGTGCCTGTATAAAAAAAAATATCAAAATTCGAAAAAGGCTCTATTGTAAGGAATTATTGGAGTAATTATTATAGTAGTATAATGATTAAGGACTTTTTTGTTCAGAATAGTCTAATCTACAAGTATGTGACAGCTGTTGTATTTAGCGACAGACATCAGTATATTGAACTTTGAACTTTGAATTTGAAACATATCGCTAAGCGCAATAGCTGTCATATGTTTATGTAGATTAGACCATTCTGAACAAAAAAATCCTGCATCATTTTGCAAATGACTACTTAAAAGTTTAAATTATTATTATTAAAGAAGCATTCTCTGCATGGTTATTTTCAATAATTTATAAGTCAAAATTCTGCATGGTTGTTCGCAAAATGGTAGAGGACTTTTTTGTTCATACTGACCTAAACTATAAATATATGACGGTTGGCACGGCTTGCGTCGGACTGTATATTATTGGCTTCTCTTCGGGATTATTTGATGAGAATATATTTCCCGCGATTTATAAACTTTATGACTCGACCGATTGTATATCGCAAACATATGAGGGCAGATTCATATTTTCACCGCATTCCTCACGCTTACGTTCCTCACGCGCAAGATTCCAGACAAAAATTCCATCTTATTTTAAATACGACATTCCGTCGCCTCGACATTTATTTTTAATTCATAGGTGAATTGGATCTTTTTCTTATGCTGCTATACTTCCGTCGTAAGTACATATATAAATATCAGACAAATTGTTATAAACTATTATATTATTATTTTTATTTCTCTTTCATGCAAATATGATAGGCATACGATAATATCTGTGCTCGTAATATTTAAATATCTTGTATTATTCTCATTCCCCATTTTTCGCTTAAAATTATCAGATACTATCATCTCAGAGTAACCAATGTGTAATATTTGTGTTTCTGTGTGTCTCGTTACCTGCGATCAAATCACCGACGACGGTGATAAACCGACTAATTCATTACGACTAAACTATTTGGAGCAACGATGTTTTCGCGACGGCGTTCAATAACCGTACATTAGGATTATCAGTCGCAGTGTAAAAGCGTTAATGACTAGTCGGCCGTAAATCGTGTAACAAATCCGGGAGTATTCAGGATCGTGGCACGCTGCCATTGCGGACGTCATGTACGAGGTGGTAACACGTTTGCGCCTCGTTGCGGATCTCCGGTCGGCCGTACGCAATATCTATGCCGATTACCGTATTGCAACATTGAAATTAAATGTCGGATTGATTTAATCCGAGAATACGTGATGCGCCCGTATACCTTTAATGAAACTTGGCGTCGACGGCGAAGTACGCGAGGGCAAAACTAACAGGCATAAAGTGCACTTGCAAAATCGGGAAATTCATTCTGCGTGATAATATTTTTACGATATCCAGCAGTTCTTAAACAAAAAAATAGGTTTTTCTTGTCCAACCACCGTATCTTGGAAGAAATACAAATCATGTATCTGCTAATATGTTGAGAATGATATTACATATTTCTATATTTTCTCTCTATATTATTATTTATTTATTAAAATATAGAAATATAGATTCAATGTATTAAAATTCGATTTAATTTGTTATTATTCTATTTAGATATTATTTTTATTTAAATTCTACTTGCTTTATTTAAATTTTATTAAAATATTAGATTATTATTTAATTTGTTATTATTTTACTTAATTGGTAATTTATTATTATATTTTCATTACTACGAATCATTTTAAAGCAACACACAAGTGAAAAGTACGCTGAAATATCGCTTAGATTTATCGTGTTTGAAAGTTAAACGACTCAGATTTCATCAAATAGTACTGTAAGTGCATGTGATGCAGTTTGATACGAATTTATATCGTATCTCGCTGGGCTTTCAGTTGACAATTAAATATACGAGATTAGCCGTACAATGCCGTGCGTATTCCTGTAATTGCCATAGCGTATGCCAAGCCATAGATCACATTATTCTCTGTTCTTTCTTTTGGATTTGCGCCGCTAAGGTTTCCTGTCCATCTCGGCGATTTGTACGTTCATCCGTTTCGCAACAACGGTTGATGCGAATTCGGTTCAGATTTAAGCTGCCGCACTGACCCTACGATCTCATGGAGCTGACATTAACTTTTCTAATGAAAATTTTTCAGCATGGCTGGAAAAGAATTATAAAGTAGTACAATCTCGTATCGCATTTTTAAATAATTGATATAAATGGTGTCTGACAGAAACCACTATTTTCAGTTTCGGCCAAGACCGAGAACGAATATTCGGTTCTTTTTCAATTTCGGCCTAAATCGAAACCGAAACTTTAATGAGTTTTACAAAAGTTCAAGGGAAAGGTGGAAAATGAATTTCATAATGAAAAAATATATTTACAATGATACTTTGTTAAATTTTATTAAACACAACGTTAAAGATTTCGGCTGTTTCAGTAATGGATACAAAAAACAAAAAAACTATAAATTATACTACAATGATACTTTGTTAAATTTTATTAAACACAACATTCAAGATTTCGGCTGTTTCAGTAATGGATACAAAAAACAAAAAACTATAAAATACGGTCATCATAAATATGAAAAATAGACTTTTTGGAAACTCGTGATTACATAAGTTCTCACACACTTATGATTACATTTGTATTTTAGTTATATCGAAAAGTACTAATAATCATAATTAAACAAACTTTTTGATATACTTTATGATTAGATATATTTATTTGAGATGAAAGATGCTTTACAGTGAAGGAGGAAGAATTCCCGTGGTTCACAGCAGTTGCCGCATTGGCTCTGATCGACGTGTTGCGACTTGATCAGTTTCAGTTTACGCTCTTTTTCAATTTCGGCCGAAACCGAAATTAAACTTTTATTTTTGGCCGCAAATAACCGTAACCGAAATCGCAATTTTGATCGGACACCAGATATAAATATGGCGGAAGGAAATCCGTCGGGGAAGAATTCGTTTAGGAGCGAGCTCGCGATCCAAGTTAATCTTTACCACGTGACACCTCAGAGGAATTAGGCGGCAAATTGCAAACCGAGGGAAAATAACCATGTCGCGGCTCGTTACCGTACTTCATATTTCTTGTTATAAAGTTCGCTGCTCGCGGGTGTCGAGATGGTGGAGCGGCGCCGATATCGCGCCACGTGCACTCGCACGATTATGTCCTTCGCGAATATTTCGGGATCTGTAAGGCGTGTAGCGTCCATCTCCAATCCCATCCGTACATCGTGTATTCATGCGTAACCAAGTTACCCACGTTCCTCCACCCTAGGTTTACAGCTACAGCTTTAATCGAACCGAGTATAAGCGCGCTTCGAATGCTGACACTGGCGTGCAGCTGTTACCTCATAATTCATCATCATATCCTACGTTGTTCGAGTTGGCAGTATTTTCTATCGTCGGGAAGCCTCACGTTTCGGAATGGGCCAAATTTTTTATCCCGGGGATTACCTGGTGACAAGACGCCGCGTTACGTCTGGTGCCTGCTGTAATAACAAATGTGATCTTCGAATTTCTCCTCATACGTCGGGGCCTGACATGTCCTGTGACGGATAATTGTTTACGTCTCATAACGCGCCGAACGTGACACGGCATAAAATACGTTGCGTCGCTGAGGCTTTTTTTTTATTTCCTTGTTTTTCGAGCGCGTTTCTCAAGATCAGTAACTAAAAACACGAGGCTCCTCTATAAAAACCGATGTGTTTTTCTTAAATTCTTTGGGAAAATTATGAGAAGATTCTCCGGCGAGATTTTTTTTCAGAAAATTCACACCGAATTTCGAAAAATCCATAACGTTCGGCAAATTTCGATGTTTCAATTTTGATAATTGAATGAGGTATTCGGAGTATAATTTGTATCATAGCTTATTGAATTGAATTGAGTTGTATCGAGTCGGAGTCACGGCGGTGTTTCGGAAAGTCGCTCGAAAGTTTCGTGTGAATAGATCCCCGACGTTCTAAATTTTAATCGTGAATAATACGTCTCGCACTGTGATTTCAGCGAAGTCGTTGACATTGACATAGAAGACAATGGTGATGGCACGGTTAACATTTACTACACTGTTGCCGATGCGGGAGATTACACCCTCAGCATCAAGTTTGGCGGTCAACCGGTGCCCGATGGATTCTACACTTTCACGGTGAGCAACTGCAATGTGCTTTTCATATTACGTGCAATTTTTCTTTACATTTGTACGTAGAAATTTAAAATTAATTTCCGTCGTCGTCAAAAATTAAATATCCCTGATACTTTCCTAATAACTTCCACATTTAAGTTTAGACGTTTCGAATAGAAGGAATGGCTTTTAAAACATCTTAAAGATACAACCCACTTCAATTGATAGTAATACGAATGTTTCGGTAAAAATTTATTTGCAGATGCTTCTAGATAAGATACAGAAATTTCAGCTTTCGTACGTTGAGCGTTGAATCTCATCAATTCAACGTAATATTACGAATCTGTGCAAATCGTCGTTTTATATCCAAGTTATATCCGTCTTATAAGCAGCTCGTAAGACTCGAGTTTCCTTGTGTATTTATACCGTTAAATGTCTCGGCAAGTGTACCGGATCCATCCCACAGGGAGATGCACAATAATTACACGAAATTAGACCGTGAAGCGTACGCTAATGAAGGCGTCACGTGTCGCCATTATCCGATCTTAAAATCCTCCCCTCACCCTGTTGCGGACAAACGCACGTTTCGTATTGCGTTATGCACCCCATTATCCTACCACATAATTCTATAAATAGCTATGAATTTATCTCAATTAGATCAATATTATCTTGTAGGCAAAGATCAACCACACGAGATATTTCAGGATTATCTTTTTTCCGACGAAAAAATTCTTCCTCGGACTCTACATCCTCATTTTACCCTGTGCGTAAAAAAAAGTGCACGGAGTATATTAAAAATTGTGCGTATTCGTGGATGATCGTTGCGAATTTCTGAGGTCGATTTTCAATTCGAATCTTTAATTTGCGCCACCACTTCAATCCTTAATCAGTCATTCAAGACTGAAGAATTCAGTTCGTCCAATGTAATCGTACGAGCGGAACCATACACGGTTTTCGATTTACCCTCGCACGTTCGTGGACACTCCGTCATCTCGTCTTTGAGAAAACGCGGGACAAAAGGTGGCGAGGACGCACGATCGAGCGACACACGCGATCGTCTTCCCGATACCGATCCGGATGCCGGCTGTTCTCGTCAACAAGACTCGGGTGGGTGGGGCGCGAGGTGTATCTAACTATAGAGGCAACACGTAGTGCAGGATATTGTCGCGTAGCCTCCAGCGAAACAGTCCACTGCGAAGGCTCATCGGGACCGCATCCGCTGACTCTCGTTATCGCACGAATCCTCGCCATCACGTGGACCCCGTCGCGCCGTAACACGATTTCCGCTCCAAGTAACGTCCACACACGTCTATCTTTCTCTCCCTCTCTCTCTCTCTCTCTCTCTCTCTCACACACACACACACACTCTCTCGTTCTCGCTAAATCTCTTTCTTCCCCTGTATCCCCCCACTCCAGATGCATGGACTTTCCCGGCTACGTGTGTAAGAGAGAGGGTGTGTGTGTGTGTGTGTGTTTGTACGTGTGCACGCACACGTGCGAGTGCCTCCGTCATCAAATGGTCCAGAGTGCTTCCTATCGCAAGTGCTGGACAGCCGCGCGCCGTAAGCTGTTAAAAGTGGATGCTAAAAGCTATGAGGGATTTTTTATTAACCCGTACGAGATGCGTACTGTGTTTGCGTATTCGTGCGAGACCGCGAGAAACTCTCGCCGTCTCCAATTTTTTTCAATCGGAGCTGAAGACCTCCCCCTTTCGCTTGAATCTGAACATTTCGTGCAATCTGTGGCCCGTATTTAGAATACATACAGCAACAACAGGTTAACTTATTAATAGTTCCGAATAGGAATTTTGCTATGAACACGCGTGATTATCGATTTTTCTAACAGTTTGGAATACGGGCTATATCGAGAGTGTTTGCGTCTTTTGAATTGCTAGCGCGCTAATGTGCGTTCTGAATACGGGTCAACGACTTTAAGTAACTTACCTTTACCTTTAACGCTTCGAAGATATGCAAACATGATCATTGTCTCGTAAATCGGCCGATCGTTATCCCATAGTCGATTGTACGTCTGGTCAGTGGAACGAGACAGCTTTGGTCGGCCGTCGCTCCGTCCGTGCCGGACGACTTTTTTCACTATCAGTAGAAAATGACTAACATCGTCAGGCGTTCTGTTCTTCGTGCGTGAAGTGTCGAAAAATCTCTCTTTTTAACTTATTCTCTTTTCTTCTTACCTTTCTATCGTTTGACTTTTCTATTGTCTTTGGTCCGCTCTGTCTCGCAATTAGATCGCCGCAAAATAAGGCGCGACAAATTATGGGACCGTAGCCGGTGATATAAACGCTCGCACTTTCGCGCGGCCGCATCGTCGTTTTACCGCGTCTGCTTAATTAGTCCATTAAACTCTAATGTTCGAAGAGTATTATTCGATTTCGAGATCATTCGAATATCACGTGTCCTCCTTCTGTTGGCGCATTAAAGCGCTTCGGCTATTTTCGATTTCAATTCGTGCTATTGCGAACAAGCTATATTTTGCCAAAACAAACTCAAAAGACACGTTGGAAGAGGTTAATCTCATCTAATAATAATTACAATCTGTTGCTATGTTTTCGGAGCAGTATTTTGGATCTATTAATAATTTAATTTTTTGGACCTTTCTCTCTTTTCTATTACGCGTTTGAGAGACAAAAAGTATAATTTAGTAATACTTTAAAATGAGTGGAAGAATGGAAGTGAATTTTTTCCAAATTTTTAAATTTTCAATTTAAGATTACCGAGGGAAGAGTGGAAAATTTCAGAAAGGCAAGCAAAATGACATCATTCTCCGTCGCAAACAGGTTTTCAGATTGTATTACGTAGAAAAGCGAATCTGGTCACGCGTCATAATTCTTAGCGACAGCCGTGCATAAATAATAATCCCGAGATACTCGTCACATACTCGACGATCACTCTATCGCCTCCACCGAAAGTGTATGTTTTTCGTGAAAAAGCGACGACCCTCAATTGTATTCTCGATGTTAAGGCTATGATCCATTTTGAAATTCAATACGAGTGCCGTCGCCGTCCATCCTCCGTCGAGAGCTCCTAGACTATTTCGAGTGCGAGTCAGGCTTTCCCAAATTTATAAGCAGGAACCGGAGTGGGTGGCCGAGGGAGCGAGGGAGTGAATTAATACCGTGAGTTAAATTAAACCCCGTGCCACGATTCACAACGGCGACTTTGTGCGACACATTCCTCTCGTCGGTGCCTNCCCCCCCCCCCCCCCCCGAAAAAATAAAAATTTCAGAAATCCACCCCGAAGACGACTTTAGAAACTCGACTCATGTGGAAACCCGGACAATTTGCAATTCGACGTAACACTCGATGTAACCATACATTTTTGGCAATTCGATATTTCTCATTGAAGAGAAATTGACCGATTTTGTCGGAAAGAAGGGAGAAATTTTTCGAAGGATACACAGAGGATGTGAGATCACGTAACGTTGTTGTCCACGGATAAATTTGTTATAATATTTATTATCATGACACGGTCGCGAGATATATATAAAATGAGCCAAAAAACGGTGACATACTTCGGCGGGGTTTACGCGGGAGTCGCATAAATAATTGCGCGTGTTTCATAGAGTATTAGGAGGATTGTAAGCTCTTCGCTTTAATGTCAGTTTAATATAGCTGAACTGGTCGTAAACAAAACGCATAACATTATATTTGGGCCTTATCCAAATTTACTATCTTTCTGGATCGCGTATTTGAGCCTCCGGAGCATATTTTGTGCTGTACGACACTTGAGATGTTGCGGCCTACATGCGCAAATTGAGAGCACTGCTTCTGATTTATGTATATACCTGATTAAGCGATTATATCTGTACGTGAGAATGATACCAAAATTTCTAACGAATTGTTCAGAGATCGATCTCCGATCGTTCGGCGATATTTCCAACGAGCTCGGCGGTCGTTGTGCTCGCGGACGATCGAATCACGAGGCTCACGTTAATGTCAATTCGCGTATCCCACGTTCTCATCGCGCATTGTGTTCTTAATCCTTTTGTCATGTCGCCGAGTGGGGGCTAGGTATCTATTATGGTACATCAAATTCAGCATTGTGCCCGGAATTACCGGTTGGTTACCAGCGAGGCGCGAGTTTCGTGTCGGCCACCGACGTAGCTGGGCGGTTACCTCGTAAATCGGTGAAGCCGAAGTGTGACAGCTGGTGTCAGGTACGCGAAAAACATGCAACCAGTCAATCAAGCAACCCCTCGTAGTGAGACAAACGGCTCGCGGACCTCCCGGCAGGTTTAGAATATGGCGCCTGTGACGGTCGCGAACGTCCGCGGACTGAGTGAGTGACACGAGTGATCGCGATGGCTACTGATAGAATAAGAAACGACACCGGATTTCAGCGGGCTAATTGGCGGAATAACGTCTTAATTTACGACAGTCATTTATTCCACTTCTGGGGTATTCAGTAGATCCTAAAGGATGGTCCACTCTAACGTACTTGGCCACCTAAGTTTCTTCGTCTCTCTCCATTTCTTTCTTCCTCTCTCTCTCTCTCTCTCTCTCTCTCTCTCTCTCTCTCTCTCTCTCTCTCTTTTCATATTTATATAAACGAAATCTAAAAGGGAAAAAATTAAGATAAAGCAAATTAAATGGACCAGTTTATTGATATTTAAAATTAACTGAAGATTAGAAATGATCACTTTTAAGTAATCGATGAATAAGGACAATTAGGATAGAACAGTTTGCTTTTATTTTGACAGATTTAACGCTTTATAGAGGAAAAATTCTGGAAAGAAAATTTTAGTCCTGACAGAGAGATAAATTTTCTACCGTACAAAATTCGAAATTTCACATTTAATTAGGTCGGGGAAAGGGCTTAATCGCAAACAGATCGATTGGCATTCTTTCCCCGGGAATGAGATGGCGAAAATAGAAGTTTTATAGTGATATCGCTTTGGTGTCATCGCATCGCATTTTGCACCATGATAGTGACTATTTATGTAGCGCGTTCGGTATCCCTCCCGAAAGCTAATTTTGGTTTCAGCCGCAATATTGCGTCTCGATGATCAACATGCTTCGCGTAATATTTTATACGTCCTAATTGACAGCAGCGTTTTATGGAATTAACATCTTTCATTACGTTGAGTGGCTTACGCACATTTTTTCAGCTCGGGAGTATAAGTTTTCAGCAAATATGAGGAAGTACGATAGATACTCGTACGCGACGCATGTGAAGAAGTATTTAGTAGTTGTTATATTTTTACGTATAATATGCTATTTTATAGGAAGAAGAAACAATAATTTTCAGCTCAAGTTGATACATTAGATAATTAAAAGAATTTTATACAAGATTCCTTAAATTTCTTGAAATGACAAAAGTGTAATTCTCTAATAGCACACGTTTACGTTGATTGCACTAATTAGAAATTCGCAAGTTTTACAAAAAATGGTAAAGTTAATAGTTAGCAGCTGAGCGTCGCTTTATTTTATAATTCAATTAAAGAACCGGACATTGTTGTAAAATCGATTGGAATAAATTCTTAAGTGCAGCTTAAGACAACTTAAGATTCTTAAGTGTGTGAATTCTTAAGTGTAACTTGGCTTAACGTTTAAATAGAAATCGAGCAGAGTGTTATCACCATTGCGAATTAGAATTTAACGCGAATCCATGCAGATAGATACAGGCTCCCCGTGAGGAGGATTTTGCAATGAATCTGATGCGGTTACATAATAAATTCTTTACACGCGGCGCACTTTGGCTTGCGACCAGCGTCGAAATACGTAGATTCTATCGTAATGAGGTGTAGCGTACACCATCTCCCAATTTCGAAAATTTCGGCTCTCCTCTTTTCCGTGAAGATTTCGTCAGAATTTTATTAGCGCTCGGTAGAGAAAAAAACAACGATCTTTTTAATGCTTGGCTTTGCTCCAATACCGAAATATCTCATCGATCATGCGATTTCGCGATCTATTGTATCGCCAGCGACACGTCCTCATTACGTCCTGTAACCCAGACGTGTTTCTATTAACACCTCGGTGGCACTTTTCAACCTGAAATTTCATGAGAAAAGTATACAAGTATAAACGAAACAAATACACGCGATGAAAAATGTTAATTGTATAGATATATGCTATTTGTGCATCTCTCTGTGCATAGCGTTTTATTTTATTACTTAATACATCTCTCACAACTTACAAACACACATTTCAGAAAAGACGTTTGCTGAGAATGAGAATTACTATGTGATAAATTATTTTTTAAGAATATTCATTGATAACATCATTCCTGATAATTTTTTGATAATATTCATTGATTCATCACGTTGATACAAAAAATTCGGGTGGCGTTTCAGGCATCCGAGGAATATCGGGAGCATAGCACGCACAAGACTCAACGGGCTCGTAAATCACGGCAAAGGCAAAACCAGCACGTCGTCGAGCAGTGCAGTACCACCTTACAGGAAAGCTCCACCGTCACCACAAAACGCAGCAGCCAGCAGGAGCTGTCGAAGAAGAACTTCAACGTTATCCGATTGAATTCCATTCCGTTACCTCTCGCTGGCGGCACAGTCATTTGTGAGTATCATCTTTGATTCGTAATTTTAAAAATTCTCAAACTTTCCCGTCGCATTGCAAATTTTTCAAATCTCTATAAATATATATCTTAGGCTTGTGCAGTTTTGAAGAAGATTCCTTTAAAGGGTTTTCATAAAAATGATTAAGATGCGAAAACTTTCTTGGAGAATAACAATTTCTCCGTAAATAATTTCGCGATACCTGGTACAGAGAAAAAGGTTTCTCTAGATTTAGTATTTCTATTTATTTGGTTAAAATTTGTTTCATAGAAACAACATATACGAAATATTATTTGTTTGAATAAAAATTTCGCTGTCTCATTCAAGAAAACTCTATTATTTAACAGAAAGAACGCTATTATTTGAAATAATATCTTTTGGCCAAATAAAATATTATTTGGTTACAATAAATGTATAAAATGAAACAAATAATTCCTTTATGAGAAAATTATCTTTCCTTTTAAACAAATTTTTGTTTAAGATAAAGATACATGTTTTCATTGAAAAGTTTCGCAATCATACTTATTGATCGAAACATTAGTTTCTTTTGAGCATACCAATGATGAAATTTATTTGGATGCGATCAAATTTACTAAATTTGAATAAATCTTTTCCTCAGTGTAGATTGCATGTGTGAGTATCGTGGAATAAAATAAAGTTATTCAATTATATTCCGATGCTCTGATATGCGATTGCGACAATATAGGATAAGCATTGAGTGCATGCCATTTGGTGTTGCACGATTGATTTGGTGTTGGCTGCGATAAGACACTGAAAATTATAATAGCACAATTAGTAATATTAAATCGATTAGTAATATTAAATCATGCTTGATTAATACGCCAGAAGAAACCAGATATTATTAACGTTACTTGATTTATGAAACGGAAGTTTTATTTCGCAATTTCAATCTTGGCGCAACGAGAATAACGCGTCCCGCCGTACGACTTATTACTGTCTCGTACTACTGCGACTAAAGCTATGAATGACAGCTATTTAAGGAAATGGCTGTGATAAAATTAGAAATTATTCTTCGAAATTGAATCGAGCTGTCAATCGATGACGAATGAAATTCGCTGGTCTGTCTGATTTATTATCAGCTCGTACTACTCCAAAGAACGTGCTGTTCTATATAAGAGTATATTTCACGTCGTACTTCATGCTACGTAATTAGTCAAATTCGACAATTATTAAGTAAAATTGCAATTTATATTTAATATTTAATTTTTTATCTCGTTTCATTTTAAAGATTTATCGTGCCACGTATTCTTCTTACTTTTTTTTTTAATCCGATTATATGAGTCAGTGATTTGAGAAATGTTTTGCATAAAAACTTTAGCTTTTTCAATTTTTCTTCTCGATGACATACCATGAAAAACGATCTTATCTTACGACAGGAAACGATTTTCAACCGTGATTTGAGGGATGAATTTCTTCGAAACATTTTGTACATAACGAGTTCCCCGAGCCATCAACTCTCTAGATTGTTTGAAATGTATAACATATCGTTTCAAATGTATAACTGTTTGACACGCGGAAGGATAAACTCGTCTCTCGTCTCGATGTTCGGCGAATTTTAAACCGACGTATTACGGATACGGGCATTTCCGTGATTACCGATTTCACTTTCTATTATTAGTTTAACGACAATAGTCGACCATGCGTCGC